CTTGTAGCTGAAGAATGGACACTGAAATTCACAAGAAGTATCATCACATAGACCATTAAAATTGGAGTCTGTGAGAAGACTTGCTGGACTAGCCACACGAAAGACATAGGGTAAATTTAATCCATTAGTTGGAAAGAGCTGAATGACAAAAGGAACAAAAATTAAACTGAACCAAATCACCAAGAGACAAAGAATCTAATAATTAGAATACACCAAAGCAATTAGTAATCACAATAAATCAAAGCCTAGAACATCAAATGAACTGCACAACACTTTACAGAAAGATGAAATAAATATTAAGCTAAAACTAACGTTTGAGGAAGAAGGGCATGATGAGTTAGGAAAATAACAACACAATCATCAAAGTTTAATGATTGAATCCATCTTGTTTTAGAATCTAGAGAAATATGTTGTTACGAAGAAGGGTGAGCAACTTAAAATGCACTCTCCCGATGTCCAATATTAGACCTTCTTTTATAAACCACCACCCCACCCCTTATTAGTTTACATACAACATTACAGCCACTTATTCTTCTTGAGATCCATTACAAAAAGATGAATAGGCTTCTTAACTGCTCATTATAGTTAAAGTTGTATTAAAGCATTTAGGTACAACTAAATGCAATTGATTAATATAGATATCGTCGAGCTCAATTCACTTCCAAATGTGAAGAGAAATTAAAATGAAGAAACGAAACGATCCACTACTACTGAATTACTGATAAAACGAAGTTGAGGAAAAGATGAAAACCCTAACCTGTTAGGAAAACACTTTTTGAGTTAATGGTCAACCTTGATAGCCTCAATTTTTAGGGATTATCCATGATCTTAATTGGAATATGTATAGATAGATGAATCTGCGATATGAAGGAAGATGTGAATATAGACTTTGATGACTTGAACTCGTTCATAAACGACAACAGTGAGGATCCTTCTGGCATAAAATAGGTTGGAGGACAAGAAATAACATCAGATACGCCAATTGTGTATGATATTTTGAATAAAATATCACATATCACAAAGTTCAGAACTATATAACTGCTAAGGATTCAAAATTCAGTAGCAATCTCAGGTTTGAAACTTAAATGCAAAGGATAACAATAACAAGTGATTAAACCCTGAAATCCAAAATTTAAATATAATTTGAAAACTGAAATTAACAATAAAAACATGAAATTCGGAATCATAATCTATTATCAATGAAATGATTAATTAACAATAATCATATAACTTTGAAAATATATAATCAGTTAATCACATAGACTAAGAGCATCTCCAATAGGAGGCTGTTCACATTAAAAAAATAGGTTACGTCATCCTTGTTTAACATTGGAGTAAAAAGTTTGTCTCCAAGGGAGGATGTAAACATGGATCGATGTTATGCTGACATGTCAAAAAATAAATTTGACAGTGTCTACATTGTAGTCTTCATATGACAGTGCCTTCCACATGCTGAATCAGCAAAAAACGGAGCCAAAATATGGAACTTCTCCTGCCCATGATCCACGTACGTACATGCTCCTAGCAGTTACAAACTTTCAATGCTTTATTTGAATTATAAAAAGACCCACATGTACAGAAATGCTAGAAATCAACCGAATGCATTGTGGAGCGTTTGGGTGAACATTCCATACATCTCGGTTAGGTTTTGAATTAGGCGTTGACATTCATCCTACATGGATAAATATTCCATACATGTATTGCCATGTGTCACAATTTTTTAAATGTTGAAAGCCTCCCATTAGAGATGCTCTAACACTGATGGTCTACTGTGATCAATTAAATTTGAAATTCTGAAATGTGAATGATAATAATCTATTTTCAATTAAATTAGATTTTCTCCTTTCTCATGTATAAAAAAATGAGATTTTCATATTAAAAGGGAAATAGTAAAACAAGCGAAATGTTGATGAAGGGATAACCAATAATCATTATTCAATATTTCAATTCATCTTATTCAAAGATTCACGCTGAGTTAACAGACAAACATGATGTGTAGAAGAGTGATAGGGGATTTTGTAATCTTGTAGTAGTTAAGCGGAGGCGGCTGAACTGCTGAAGAGCCGATTGACGAACCTGTATTTCAGGCGAAGAGCCGATTGATCGATTCTGCAAGAGCAGACGAACACTCCTAAAAGCAGATAGGGAGGCGAGGCGAAGACCAGAGGTAGAGGGACTTCGAGTTCTTGATTCCTTTTCTTTGATTCTTCATCGTCTCGATTATCATTCTGAAATTCCCAATAGCGACGAAGGCAAAAAGGGTTAGTCGGCTATGTGAGCTGTTGCGTGCGGGTGACGGGGATGAGGAACGATGAGAAACTCTGTTTCTTAACAGAGTTATACCTACTTACAAAGGCACAAATAATTAAGCACAAAGTACATTTGAAGTAAGCTATACTATACCACCAACAAATTTTTTATACCTAAAATAGGCCTACCCTTATTCATGCTTATTATTTTGCAAACACATCTTCTAAGAGCATCTCTAACAGCTAGCTAATTACCGTTATAACTTGATTAGTCAAATAAGCATTTGCAGCAAAATTAAAATGTACTCAAATAATTAGCTATAAATTCTTTCTCTTTGTTTATTATTAATAATGTTATTTTTAATAATTCTCTTTGCTCAAGCTAGTAGCTCGTTTTGGGTAACTGGCTTTCACAAACAAAAGAGAAAACAATATATGCTCCAATGATAAGCTATTGGCTTTAAAATTGCAAGCAAATTCTCAAAGAGAACCATTATATTGGAGATGGTCTACTATCTAATACCCCAAGGGCAACTTCAGAAAGATACTTTTATTATTTCTTTTTGCTATTTTTTAAACCCCGTGATGTTAAGGATGTTTTCTTTTGGACTGTTTTCAGTCCCAGACCAGACCAAACCAGATCAGACCAGACCAGACTTAAACAGACCAGACCAAACTTGGATAGTTATAAAATACACAGAGACCAGACGTTTACCAGACCAGACCAGACCAGTTCAGACCAGACCAGACCAGTTCAGACCAGACCAGTTCAAACTAGACCAGACCAGACTTAAACAGACCAGACCAGAACAGATCAGACCAGAACAGACCAGCAAATTTCAGTCCAAAAGAAAACATCCTAAATGTGGAACCTCATTTGGGAATGGATGGAATACATTTCTCTCTTTATTTACTTTTCTTTCACCTACAAAATTTACGTCAGTACTCCTTATTTTGGATGACCTGTTTTCTTCCATCAATTACGTACTAGCGGATCATTTCTCCTTTATTTCTTACCATCTTATTTGTTTCGTCATTATTTCGTAGGAAAATCGCATTTTTAATCTCTTAAATAGTACCGATATTAAAATGTAATGTCCGTGTTTCCAAGTGTGCAAATGTAAGCCATCAATTGTCTGCACCGGTGACCCTGGTGTAAGCGTAGTCCTCCTCCACATTGTAAATTTCACCACTCAAAGTAGTACATTTATAACAATTTAGACAATTGAGAGTGACATTTTCAAACTTAAAAATATGTGGATTAAATATCAGTACTATTTGAGAGACTACAACTCTACAAGTGCAATTTTTCCTTATTCCTCCAATCTTTTGTTTCCTTCTAACAAACGTTGGAGATCTCGCCATAAGATCTAAACAAAGAGGCAGATCTTTTTTGTGATAAGTTGTTATTTTGAGCAATAATTCTTCTTGTACACACTCTTACACACATTGGCGAGATGTTTTTTTGTCTGTGCATATCTTGTTCATAGACAAAATATGTCTCTCGCACCGACGTGTGTAAGAGTGTGTAAAAGAGGTGTGTAGAAATAGTTTTATTCTATTTTGAGCAATATTCCAACTCATTTTATCAGAGGCAAATTGTATTGGCTTATAATTTTTGTGGCCATTTGTAGAAACATAACTCATTGGATACATTGGATATGGTAATCGTTTATAAAGCTAAGGAGCAACGGCGGACACAAGAATTTCCGGTAGCAGGGGCGGCAGTACAAAAATATACATACAAATACATATACATTAAAACTTTCGGGGTAAATATACCTAGAATTTTTTTTTGGGAGGGGCAGCAGCCTCCCAAATTCGTTAGACGCCACTGCTAAGGACAACTGAATCAATACATCAGGGGCGTCTAACGAATTTGGAGGCCCTTGTTCAAAATGCAAATTTGAGGCCCCGCTTTAATATAAAAAACTAAATAATATTCTCAATCAAAATTCTTATTATATTCAAATCAATTGAATACTCATTAAATAATGCAATTAAAGAATTACATGTAGTAATGGTCTTCTTTCAAACAATTAATCTCTACGTTTTTTTTGTAAAATGTTTCAATTTATGAGGGTTATTATATGGAGTAGTGGAGTATGAATTTAGCTCCAACTCATAATCATATACGAAAGTATACACTATTATACGTAGTATTATATAATCAATCAATTAAATAAATATTTAATTAATTAATTAATGTTAGTGACCTAAAAATAATACTACTAGTGTCTTATAAATATTGGGGCCCCATGAAAAGTGGGCCCTTGTTCTACTTAAGTCTTAAACTATTAATGTTGACCTAATTAACATGCTAAAAGACATATATTGAATATATGTATTCATCCGTGTGACCAATGACTAATAGTGAAAAAACAAATTGAAGGGGAGCTTCTTAAACTCTATGCTAAACTTGGGGTCTGTTTGCAACAGCTTCTGCTTTAAAAAAGTGCTTTTTTTAATGAAATGGGGAGAAGTGATTAAATAAAAGTTGATAGTGTTTGAGAAAAAAGTGTTTTTGAAAAGTAAAAGTGGGTAGTGTTTGGTAAAATAAGTGCTTTTTGTGTAATAGAAAAAGTAAAAGCACTTTTGACGCGGAAGCCGAGAAAAATAAAAGTTGTAGTGTTTGGGAAAATAAGTGTTTTTTTAAAGCCAAAAGCTGAGAAGTGCTTTTTAAAAAGCAGTTGCTGGAGAAGTGCTTCAATTAGCAAATGGAGAGCCAAGGTGGAGATTTACAGGGTATTATGGATACCCAGAACAAAGAAGAAGGAGATAGTCTTGGGATTTAATCAAAAATCTGTCAAGAAGAACTGATTTGCCATGGCTCATGATGGGCGATTTTAACGACATCCTTCATGCTAACGAACGCAAGGGACGATTACCACAACCAGTATGGCATTTGAATGGGTTCAGGGATGCAATTTCTATTTTGGGGTAGCGGGTTGAGCAATGTACCATTTGAAGGTTATCAATGGACATGGGAAAGAGGAAGAGGGACTGATTGGTGGATTGAAGAGAAGCTTGACAGAATTGTTGCTAATGGGGGCTGGCTGAATTTGTTAAAGAGGTTCATGGAAGGTCCTTCAAGTGACCATCTGATGTTGCTCATCCGGTTTGATTACTCTAGCAGGCAGGTATTTAAGCGAGCTATTAAATTTGAAAATATTTGGTTAAAGGAGGATGATTTTCGCTCAGTGGTTCATCGAAGCTAGAGTGGGTGCCGGGAAAAGAACATATGGCAAAGAATTAAGGTGAGTTGGAAGCTTGGAGCAGGAGAAGAAAAATTGGGTGGAGTGATAGGAGGAGGCTGGCATATCTGCGAGGGTGGAGTGATAGGATGAGTCTGGCAGAATTCCAAAGGGTGAAATCAGTACTTTTGGACCTCTTACATCAACAGAACTTATTTTGGAAACAATGGGCAAAAGAGTCCTGGTTGAAGGACGGGGATGTTAATACTAAGTTTTTCCATAATTCAGTTAAACAACGCAGGAGGAAAAACAAAATGAAGGGACTTACTACAGATATAATCCTGCTACGCTAGGAGATTGGTGACCTATAGCTTTGTGTACAGTAATTTACAAAATTTTTGCTAAACTCATGGCTAACCGATTGAAGGGGTGTTTAAAATTTATTGTCTCTAATAATCAAAGTGCTTTTATTCCGGGGAGATCCATTGTGGATAATATAATGATTGCTTTTGAAACTCATCATTACTTGAAACGCAAAACTAAGGGAAAAGAAGGTTTCGTAGCCCTTAAATTGGATATGAGTAAAGTGTATAATAGAGTTGAGTGAGCTTTAATTTTCTCCTAAATGTGATGAAAGAGATGAATTTTAATCCCCGTTGGATTAACCTAATTATGGAGTGTGTCCAAACGGTTGAGTATTGCATTCCTTTTGAGGATATTGTGATTGCGCCGATTATTCCACGTCGGGGTTTGAGGCAGGGAAAAAAACTTGGCGCTTAACTACTGACCCAAATTCTTTGGTAGGGAAGGTGTTTAAGGCAAGGTACTATCCGAATTCAACCTTTTTGGAGGCTGGGTTGGGGACCAATCCTTCATTTGTCTGGAGGAGTATATGGGAATCTCAAGATGTGCTTCGTACTGGGGTCCGAAGAAGAGTTGGAACCGGAACGGAGATATCAGTTTTGCATGATCGGTGGCTTCCGGGAGAGCATGGTGGTTTTGTCTCGTCACCAAAACCGGTGGGGATTTTTTTTATATGAATGTTGCGGCTCTCATTAAAGAGGATAGGTCGGGCTGGAATCTGGAACGAGTACGCCATATCTTTAATGAACAGGATAGGCAAGCCATCTATTGGTCACAGAGAGGTGCGAGATGGCTACTGGTGGATTGGGGATACTCGAGGGGTATATACGGTTATATCTTCCTATAGGAGGATTGTTGGAGAGGTTCCAGAAGGGGGTGGCTGGACTGGACGCGGATGTGGGGATTTTTTATTCAACCAAAAGTAAAGCATTTTTTCTGACAGATTATGACAGGTACTCTACCAACGGCGGACAAGCTGTGGGAGAGGAGGGTGGATATTTCGGGAGCTTGCAGGCTGTGCAAGGAAGCTGAAGAGACATCAATTCATTTATTTAATGAATGCAGAGTTGTCATTGAGGTGTGGCAAAAGGCTGGGAAACCAGTCCAAAGGCATGATACTTCTGTGGAGGAGTGGGTCAAGACGATTTTTAGCTCTCAAACAGAGGATGATATTTGTAAATTTTTAACTATGTTATGGAGCATCTGGAAAGCGAGGAACGAACTGATCTGGAAGAATAAACATTTTAAGGCAGATCATGTGGGGATAATTGGTCTCCAGGGGTGGCGAGCAGTGCGGACCGAGACAAATAAAGTGGTTGGTGTTAATGAGGGTGGTAGCAGATGGTCTAAACCAGAGCATAATGTTATCAAGATTAATGTCGACGCCGCTACAGATGCACGAAGAGGAAGAAGGGCATGGGGATGAGGAAGGCAACTTTATCAAAGGAAGATCAGACTCTTGTGTGGTGGCCTGGTCAACACGCACGACAGAGGCCATAGGGGTAAGGGAGGCAATTATTTGGGCTAAGGAGCAAGGTTGGAGACATATCATATTTGAGACTGATGCATTGTTAGTTACATCCAGACTAGCAGAGGACACAGGTAGTTCGTATTTTGACTTGATCATCCAAGACATAAGACATCTTCTTCTTTCTGAAGCTGGCTATACTGTCAAATTTTGCAAACGATCCGCGAATCGTGTAGCTCCTAGAGTTGCACTTTCAGAAGCGGGTGGTAGTTCTTTTGAGGTTATCCCCGATTGTATTTCTAGCCTTTTGGCGAACGATTGCTTAGATTAATTTAAATTGGCAGTTTCCATTCAAAAAAAATGTAAACATGCATAAGTTGGAGTAGGGCTTTTGTGCAGTTCTGTAGGAGCAAATTCGCCGCATTAGCCCCATGTGATTTATAAAATGCATCAAACCTCCCTATGTTATTATTAATCATGTGTGAATCTCTTCTATGAACAAGTTTAATTGTAAAACAATGATTAACACTTCTGTTAATCACAAATTCGAAAAATTTACTTGCATATTCAATTATAGTATTAGCAAAGGTGATTTTAAAAATGTTAAATTTATTCACAATAGTGGTTCAGTGCATGAATAATTACAACACATGGGGTTTTGACGCTTTTTTAAAATCACAAGGGGGCTAATATGCTTAATTTCTATATCATGAGGTGGTTTGGTACTTTAAAACCCAACAATACCCTGAATTAAAAATTTGTAACTGATGGTTTCTTGATTTCTAATAATTAGTACCTACCTGATTAATTAATAGAACACACTAATATGCATTTAGAGTTATTGGTGTTAATATTTACTACTCCCTCTATCCGCTAAGATTGTCTCGTATTTTCTTTTCGATCCGCCCCATCAGCGGCGGACACACATGGGGGCTATGGGGGGCTGCCGCCCCTCCGGGGGGAAAAATTCTAGGTATATTTACCCCGAAATTTTTAATATATATGTATTTGTATGTATATTCTTGTACTGCCGCCCCTGCTATCGGGAAATCCTGCGTCCGCCGCTGCGTCCCATTGAGATTGTCTTATAAGAAATTTGGTAAAACTTATGTGGTTCTAAATCATTTTTATTTATTCTTATTTTATCAATTCAATATTAATCACATAAATCAATTTCCTAAATAATTGTACCACTTCTTATATTCCAATGTTAGTGGGACAAAGGAAGTATCAAATAGAGAGTATTAGAATTCAATTTCTTTTTTGGAAAAATTGAAAATAATAATCCCAACTGTTTTCGGTCTGCTGTTAATATTTCTCAACTATCAATTATTTCTGGGTGGTCCCAATTATAGAGACCATTTTTCAAAAATAGTCTCTAACCGGCTACAACCTGGTATGGCAGGTCAATTCAAATGCGAACCATGCGTAAGCTATAAATAATCTCAACTGTAGTCGCTCTTGTTATTAATCCCAATTATCAACTCTCAATTTTCGGAAAATATAGAAGTATTTTTATAAATTTCCAAATGAAATATTTTTATACCTATAAAAATATTACAAAAATTCTACAAATGTACCAAAGTTAAATAAAATATTTTTAGTCCTTTTTTATTTATTTTCACTAAAATTTCATTTTCCTCTTTTTTCCAATTTGTTTTCCTAGTTGTGTTAGCAATTTATGATTTTGTATTATTTTTTTTATTCAAATTTATATTTTCTGTTTTCAAAAAGTTAACTGTGATTAAAGTTTTTACGATTTAGAGCTGTATTCTAGCTTTTTCATGAAAATATACTTTATTTTGATTTTTATGCTATATTAATTCTAAAAATCTAGATTTTGTATTTTTTTCCATTTTAGTATTTTTTATTTCTTTATGTTTCCTTTATTTTATGTTATTATATTCTATAAATTATACATTTGAATGTCTTCTCGATTGAATTTTTATCTAAAATTTGGTATGAGTGAATCAGACTTATTCTACCGAGAACCGTCCCAAATGGCAACGACCGGATAGAACCTTCTATATCAGGACTTATTTCATCCCTTTATGCAACTTGTAGGACAAAACTCACAAATTGATAAAATTTTGGGAAAATTTTTACTATAAAGGGGGAGTATTATTTAAGAGTTAAGACAGTTCTATCGCACGAGTATCATCCTTCTCAGGCGGCCTAAACCCTTCAACAGTTCCACCCGGCAGCGCAATTCCAACCCTTCTGTGCCGCGCTTCTATGAACCTCTTTAGATGAAAACTCACCGAATTGCTCGAAACATGAGACGGTTCTCTAGACCGAGCCTCCAATGCTTCGCACACGGGCATTGTGAAGAAGTTTCCAGGAACGGATTTCCGACTGGTCATTTTCATACCCTGCGATCTCTTTACACAAATCCCTCTTTTTGGAGAACCAGCTTCAGAAACTCAGCCACACGATCCTTAATCAGCTCAAGTTATACGACTTCAGCTCCGGAAACAAAGCCCGCTCCGTCCGATACAGTGCTGGGCATTGTCGATGAGATTTCGGGTCTCACTCTACTCGAAGTCTCCGATTTGGTCGAGACACTGAGGAAGAAGATGGGAATTGATGAGATGCCCGTAATGGCGATAATGATGCCCGGAATGGGTTTTAGTGCTGGAGGTATGAGGGGAAAGGGTTCCGGAGCCGCAGCCAAGGCAGAGGAGAAGGTGGAGAAGACGGTCTTCGATTTGAAACTTGAGGCCGGGTTTGATGCTGGGGCGAAAATCAAAATTATTAAGGAAGTTAGGTCTTTCACCGACCTTGGATTGAAAGAAGCCAAAGAGTTGGTTGAAAAGGCTCCTGCAGTTTTGAGGAAGGGGGTTGCTAAAGACGAGGCTGAGAAGATCATTGAGAAGATGAAGGGGGTTGGTGCGAAAATCACCATGGAGTGAGCTAGGTAAATATGTCTCTTATGGTTCATTGAACTCTGTTGACTGAAATGTTTTTGCTAAAGATATATTTCATGACTGATAGATGGGAAGTAACAGTATATCTCTTTGCTTCATTTATTTCTGACCCAGGGCACTAGTTTAGTGCTTGAACATCATATGGTTCTGTTCTTGCTTCTTTTTCTTTCAAGTGATGTGATGCTTTGTATCAGTTATACATTTCATCATTTACTTTTCCCCAGTGTTCCATTGTAAAATTAAGATGCATGCTGTGTATAGAGAATTTAAGCATCAAATATTCTTGTTTAACTTCCATAAGCAGATAAAATTTTCTCTACCATTCCTACTCACAAATCTAAACTGGATATTCACTAGGGTCAATGGGTGTATCTCACGAGATGTTGTTTTGGTCGTTTCCATACATTTTCTACCTTCCTCACCTCTCATTGTTAAGAATGTAAAACTGACAAAGCTTAATTGAAGCATGTTGTAAGAATTAAGACGGTTCATGATATTACCCTCGGTGTCATGGCCTTACGGGATGAGGTTTACCTTAAATCTCTAAGCTGTACCTTCTTTGGAATTCTAGTATCAGTCTTTCAGAACATTTCTTTTATCTAAATAATTAAGTTAACAAAAAATGTACAAATTCTCTCAGTGTAGAACTAAATAGGAATGTCATTAGTTATTTGGAAAACTTTGGATGACCCTTTAGTGTATTGAGCATTGTTATGACATGTGATGGTTGAATAATGCTTTTATATGTTTCTCTTTCATCAGTTTCTCCCTTGTCCATCTTTAACAAGGTACTAGTATTGTACCCGTGCGATGCACGAGACAATAATATATTCATATTTAACATTTTTTTTATTATTTAAGTGAAATTGAAATACATGTACAATATAAATTTCTGATATATGTTTTACAACATGTCATTAAAAGCGTTGTAACACAGACATATATATGTGGTACAAACATGTCATTTAAAAATGTGTTACAACAAAATATTAAAAGTACACATTTTGGAAAACCTCTAAATACACAACCTTGATTGTCAAAGTACTTGCATGCAATCAACGTTGCTTATCATCCATTCGAGTCCTTCACGTTTAGTAACTCGTGACACTATGATATATAGTTTACCGTGAGACAAAACATGTTTTTAGAATAATTCGACATAGGGAAGAGATTTTCCTATGTCAACAAAACATGTATAATTCGACTGAGTACATGACTGTTGTTGATGTAATATAATTTAAAATTGTATGTGTATTGTATAATCTTATAAGAATGAATACTTATTTTTAATTCATAAAAAAGAGTTCAACATTCGTGACAATCCATTTTTAACTCATAGTTTTTTTGCACATTCGTTTATCTCATAGTTTCTAAGAATGTGTGTAGTCCTGATTTTTATGGTTTCTAAGATTATCAAATCAATGTATTTCTATGTCTTATTATCTAATGCTATATGTTTTTTATTTTTTTTATAATTATGCTTAGTTGTTTTTGTTTTAATGTTGTTTCAGTATCTATCTCATGAAAAGAAACCAAATTTGTAATAATATAAGAAAAAAGATGCTATGCGTTGCCTGGCATCCTTAAACTTATTTTTTTTTCTAGGTGAATTGAGGTACGAATCTAGTCACCTTGCATTTAAAATAAAAATGAGTTTGATTGTTAATATTGACCCTGTAGGCATAACACTTTTTTTTAATTTCCATATATACATACATGTACCTCCGCACATCTAGGATAGTAAATTCCTTTGTGTTCGCAACGTGATTTTGTAAGAGGTGAATATCGTCGCTCCAGCCTATCCCCAAGAGCCGCCCGGGGTGTTCAAATTGTAGATTTTTCTAGCAACAGCTTCCATTCTTGAGAGCAGAAAGATTCAATAAGTCACAAACGTAGACCTTATAACCCCATGAGTCACATCGCTTGCAGTGGATCGGATGTGCATTTGATGTTGATAAGAGGCGGTGAGCAGTTTTTTATAGTAGTAGTCCTGGCAACAGTTAAAGTGGTAACTGCCACGATTTGCAATTGTTGTTGGATTTAGGAGTTTCTTAGATTTCCAGAATTTACACGGTTAATTACACATATTTATACCACGTGAGGTGCAGGCATAATCCAATGTAGGAACAGTTATATTGACCAACGATTCCATTTTTATATATATAAAGATTATGTGATGTTTGCATTGTATTTAGAGATATTCCTTGAGGTCACTCTCAGGTCTGTGGTGTATCTCAAAATGACCCATGCTATTCTCGTTTTAAAATAAACCCTGAGGAAGCCTAAAGTATCTCGAAAAGAACTTCTTGAGGTTCCCTTGTTTATATGGGAGGGTCATCAAAACTCATTTATATGGCTTTGCCTAAAGCTTTTTACAGTAAAGTAACTTTTCCAAAACTGTGCTGATACTTGTTATTTGCACTTTTATCCAGCTTTCACAATTGGAGAGCATAATGCTTATGCTGGATATAGTCTACAGATTGACATTTGGGTGATGAGGTGATCGTTACTGGGGTCTGGGAGCACACTTTAGTGATAGAATGAACTTTTACTGATATAGAACTTTCTCCACATCATCTCTCTTGTTTTCATCCATTAATGAATAATACTAGAGGCCAGCTGCATTGAAAAGCTCTTGGTTGGAGGATTATTTCCAGATGAATGCAGTGAACTCCATGTCCATGTGCTATCTTATCATTGCTTCTGCTTAACACACTTCCGCAGCTGTTTGGACTTCATTCTCAATTCTCATGACAGGGTTCGATGGAATATTCCCTTCTTTTGCTGACTTGTATGTTAGTTACAGTTCATACTGTCTTCTAAATTTTCATTTATTCTTTCAATATGTTTATCATGTATCAATTCATGTTAGCCGACCCCAAAATCTTTTGGGACTAAGGCTTGGATGTTGATGTTGATTCTTTCAATATGTTCATCTTAAGTGCGTTTGGTGGTAACATGCCAATGTCCCTCTTTTCCTGTATTTTATAATCTAGAATTCTAGATTAAACACTTCCATGCGAGGGGACATTCTTCCAAGTTATTTTCCTTCAAAAGTTCATGTATCATTTGCATCATCAAATTCATAGTTGAACCAACAAATAATAATTTTTTCTCCTACTTTACTGATTTCTCAAACACAGAGTAGATAAAACTGACTCCATCAAGAAAGTCGGTACAGGTGGGTGGACACGGGTCAGTCTGGTTAGGTTCCCCTTGCTGATAACCGATAGTAGTCCAGGTGGGGTAGAACTGACGGTCCTATTTCGGTTAAAAAACTGTACTAGCCTATTTATATGCCTATTTTGGATAACTAGATTGGAATGCGACCATGTCTGGTTCCAGTCCAAAGCTGAAGCTGTGCCCAAGCTTACTTTTGAAACACCCAAACACATTTTAGCACAATCAGAAACTCTTCAAATAAACTAAATTTTCCTTTTATCGGATATGGAAAATAAGAACTGCATAGCAGTTATGTTGTAGTTACATGACATTTACACATAGATACCAGCTTTCGCTAACTGGGAGTGGGAACGGTAGAAATGACTCATTTACATAATTACATATCACTATATCAAACTGGATCAGGTGAGTGTGGACAAGATGGTGGGGATGCCATTGCCGTCCCCGATTTCACTTGTGAATTAATGTTACACCCTGTCATCGTGAAACCACCATGTTGTTTCCTTGGGCGATCTCCCATTCGTGCAATTCCTTAAGTAGCGGTCGTTATCTTCAGGGAGTTGCTGCACAAGATGGAAATACAGTGATCATCATGCTGGCTGGCTATCAGAGCAATGAATAAAGTGATTATTTGATGAATAAGAGAGAATACCTTCGCAGTAGAGCTTGATAGCATAGAGAGAATGCTAATGCAGATGGAATGAACCGTCATTGCAGGAGACCATGTATCATACAGAATATCTGACACATAATGAAGCACGCATTAACTTGCTGCAATATAGATTTATATAGACAATGTGTGTATGCGGTTTGAAGTCATCTTTGTCTATTGTTTGTAATTGCAAGTGATGAGGCCCGCTAGGCAGTACTAAAATGGCAAGATGCGTGGACAAAAAGAAGCAAAATTTTCAACACTGCCAACAAACAAAAACAGAAGCAGAAAAGACTAATTTGAAGCATCTAATAAGCTGTACAAATGGAGTAGATAACAATAAACTAAAGGGCCAACTTACACCTGCAACCAAATGTAAAATTTAAACAAAGAATATCATGCACGCCTCTATATTATAAGATGATTACCTAAACAAATATGGCCATTGCTGTATATATGTGGGTGCAATGGAGGCGGACACAAAAATATCACCTGCAGCACCAAGTTAAGAAACATTATAGTCATGGCCTAATGTAAGCAAACATTTTTTAAAATAAAGCATCAAGTGATATATCAAAGTCCACCTGAGGAGCTTCCATAGGATACTGTTCCGGAAATTCAACTTGAAGCTGATAAGTCTCATCAGCATACAGGGTTTCAGGAGCTCCATATACTTCAATCACCCACCTTTTGGTCGAACACGAAATTCGTGATTGGGTGAGATGATACAAATATAAAGAATCATACAAACATGATCATCCTTACACTTTGAAATTACAGCTTTTTTTCTTCCTTTTCAAAGATGACTAAATATGCCCAGGTTTTTTGAAACTCTAAATACATTCAATTTTTTTCTCCCTCCAACACCAACCTATCTGGGAACAAAAGCTTTCGAAGATTTTTAAAAAAAGTCACTGGAAAAGTAATATCCGAGAGGAAAAAAAGGCGCTGGAATTTATTGCTAAAAGTGGTAGCACATCACTTGCATCATCATCTCAGGTGTTGTCATATTAAAGCTGAAGTGTTTAATACTCTCTCCCTCCGTTATACTGTACTGTTTTTTTTTTCTTCATAAATCTCACTAAGAAGTGTTTGTAAAACACTGTAAGAAGTGTTTGTTCCAATTCATTCTGATCCTCCCCTCGCGTAGAGGGGAAGCGGGTAGTACAATGTTTCAATTTTTGACATTTTAGGTAAAACAAATGGAGTAATAGTGAAAACAAAAGCTAAGAATTGAAGATGTATGTAATAAGGGATGGGAGGACCTTTGAAGATTGTCATCGTCATCAGTGGGCTTAATAAGTTTGAATCCAGGGGGCGGATTGGCCTGCCAGGAAGCCTGCAGCTCTTTCTGGATTCTGTTACAAGCCGTCTTGCTAAGCCTCTTCTGCAATTCCATTTCAGCACTCAAAATTAATTAAATACATTTTGCATATAGACAGACAGTAATCATAGAAGAAGAAGAAGGTAGCTAGCCGGACCTTGGGAGGGGAAGCGGTGGAGCTGTTCATGGCTGGCTAGCTCGGTTGAATGTGTGAAACAAAATGTATCATCGCCCTATATATATATACCACAACATTCTACTTACTTTTGCTTCTCTTCCCGAACTAATTTCTGATTTCTCTCCTTTTCTTTATCATATAATAAAGTACTAGACGAAGCATTTATCCCCAAGTCATTCCTAACCAAAAAATTATTTCATTTTCTTAATTCATATTCCCTCCATATTCGAATGTTTGAGCCCGGCATATAAAGTTTAAAAGTAATATCATTGAGGTAGCAAATACTCCGTATTATACTCCGCGTTTGATTGGCGTAGCGCCAAATATTAAGTGTAAAAATATACTCTCTCCATCCTGTATAACTTTGTGAAGTTTGATTGGCGACACGGAAAATTATAAAATAAAATGTATCGTTAAGGTATGTATGGAGGATACACAAATAACAAGAACCACATAATCATTTATTATAAAAAGAAAATGATAAAGTTTTGGGAACAACAGAAAAAAAAATTATAAAAACAATAGTGGAAAAGTATAAAACAAAATTGTGGAAAAGTACAAAAATTAAGAATACTTTCATATTTTTAGATGAAAAATGTATCACAAGCGGTAAAATCTTACAAATGTCTAAATACATCCTAAAAATTTGGTCAAATAGTACTCCGTATGGATTACTAAGGTAATAAGAATCATTAACTAACAAGTTAATTGATGGCTTCGATTTCAAGGAAATGCATATTCCATTATGGTATACCAAGCAAGATCAAACGTGATAATAATGTATGTGGATATTTTTAATTGGATTGAAACATTCTGGTATACATGATATGGTACGATTTGGTCGTCTTATTTGATATGTTAGATGTCATGTTTATTTTACAACTATGAAAGTCTAGTATGATTTGTTCTAATTTATTTAAGTTTACTTTGATTTGATCTGATTTGGGATCAACTAGTTCAATTAAAAACTACCCGACATATTCTAAATATATTACTTCATCCGTTCTTTAATACATTATTCACACATCTTACTTTGATCATGATTTTCTATTGATATATACGGAGTATAATCAAATTATTATGAATACAATATTATTAAATTGCTATTAATGTGAATTTCCCAAATATTAACTGTTGAGTTTAATCCAACACGATATAGTAAATATATGTATAAATGTGTATGAACAAGCTCAGTTTTTACGTGGAAACCCGAAAGGGAGAAAACCACGGGACTTTTTAGGCTAATGTCCAAGCCCTCTCAATTCTCATTAGACTCTCCTCACCATTACATTATACAAGCTTGAGGCTCCCATTAATGGAGTATTATCTAATCTAGAGAGCTAAAGGAAGAAGGAAAAAGATCCTTTACATGGAGGGAAAACCTCCTATAAATAGGAAAAGGGGTGAGGGAAGTACTCCACCCTAATGGGCCAAACGGGCCGATGTCGGGCCTAATGGCCAAAGTGGGCCAGAATGGGCCGAAATGGACCTAGCTGCTCAGGCTCCGTACTGGATAATGTCTTGGGCTCTTGAACAGTAATAGGCCGGGATAATATATCCCAACACATGTGATAGTTAATAGTTTTCACCCTTGTATACTTGTATTCAATTTTATTTCAAACATGTATGATGTGCACAACCTCATGTGTAAAGTGTAGCTTAATATTAAATAAATTCCAAACTAAAAACATAAAAGTGTAGTTTATAACAAGCAAATTAACTCAATAAAAATGTCATTTCTCTTGAGATTGAAAATATCTAAATATTTAATTAAATTGGGGTTGCATCATATTACAAATAAAAGTGCAGTTACTTAACAATTATGTGCAATTACACATAACTAGGTGAATGAAGCATTTCATCTGAAAACACGATTATCCATTAAAAATGCAAAAAAATGAATAAAGATTTCCTAATAAATTAGTTATCTGGATTATATGTGAGAGAAAACAAAATTTGGAAAATGAAATTAAATAAAGGAAGTATTTGTTAAAATAAGAGAGATAGTACGTTGCTTCATACTACGTATTAATTACTATCCTAACTTCTAGGAGTATTACCTATTGTGGTGCGACATGTGTAATAACAGGCTAGACACGTATTCAATTGAGGAGTGGACGGTTACACAATTAATTTTAGAGTTACAATAATGTCCTCCTTAATTTGCTACACGTGCACTCAAATTAGTAGGAAAATATTATAATGTCATGCAATGCAGCATAACATCCGTGCGCCAGAAACGTGATGCCGTTAGATTGTCAAAGTTAACGTATGAGATGCATTCTCATTTCTCTCCTAAGAGAGTGTTCTCACATGAACCATCTCGTATATATATAAGTAGTATATATGAAGTAGGTGACGGGTCGGGTACAAACAGTGATTATTGTGCAAATATTTGTTCGATGCATTTTTACACTATTTGTATTGTATATTAACGTTCAAAGTGTTGCATATTACCAAAATGTCATCGTGCATCTATAGTCTTTAGACCAATTCATCGGATGACCAATATGAGATTGTAGTTTGTAAATTAGTATATCACATCCAAAATCTGGGTCTTTTTGGTGAGAGCTTCATTTCGTCAAGAATAGTTCTCACTACAATACAACCTCAAGCCACGCCACTTGCCATTCTACCCCTCACAATGTAAGCCACAAGAGATTGAAGTCAGGAGAACACATGGTTCCTATTAGGCCTGTCAATGGGTCGGGTCTAGACCCGGATCCGATCCGAATCCGGTACTTTATTTGAGGGTATGGATCTACATTTGGAACCGCTTCTCGGATCCGGATTCGAACCCGTTACATGATAGTGAAAATGGGTCGGATATGGATTTTTTAAGTTCCAGACCGTTTTTGACCCGACTCGTGATGATATAATTATAGTTACAATTTTTTACATATACACACAATATACATAGAAATATTTAAACATAAAATAAGAAAAATAATCATATATAAAAAATGTTTTAATATGTGTAGGCTTAGTTAGTGGTTGGCCCACTATAATGGGATTTTCGCTAATGAGTTATTGTTCTAGGTTCTCTATGAGTTCACTAATATACATATAACATACTTCGTATATTAATGTATTGTATAGTTCATACGGAGTAGTGGATAGAACAACATTTTGCTTATTGATATATGATCTCTTCCAACATGAACAATATTTTGTTATATACTATGTATTATATTTGTTTGCATATGTAAATTAGTTGTTTTTTTGCGGGTATACCCGTCCCGAATCCGAGACCCGCCGGATCCAAATCTGGAACATATGTTTAGGACCTGAAGGGTAAATGGGTCCGAATGTGGACCAAAAAATTTTCAACGAATATGGATATGGAAGTTATAGTTCCGGCTCATATCCGACCCGTTGTCGGGCCTAGTTCCTATTCAACCCCTCATCCGATGAGCTCTCCAACCAAAGGCAAGTTCTTTGTGTTCCGACTTTGGCACCATTCTGAATTGTCCACATCCAACGGCGCTCCCTTACATTCTGAATTGGGCATCCTACGAGCTTCTTCACGACAGTGTCGTGCAGATTTCGTGCCTGGGAGACAAACTCAGCTGAGAAACCGGTGAAGATGCTGTTTGGACCTCTCAAAGAGAAGTTAGTAAATGAACCCAGGTTATGGGCCGTTTTGGTGTCACGGGAAGAGCACCATCTCGTTGTACCACCAGGTGATTAAATATTTAAAGAGTAAAGGGTCAGTTTGGTCCTCGAAGTTGCAAAAAAAGCGTCAAATAAGTCCTTATATAGAAGATTCTGTCCGGACGTGTCATTTGAGGTGGCTCCCGGTGGAATTTTGTGATAAATTTTTTTGAGCATCTTATTCATTAAGTCTAGTTTACTCATACCAAATTTCAGCTAAAAATTCAATGGGGAAGACATTCAAATGAATTCTTGAAGATAACAGCGCTTTTAACGGCACAGTTATCTTCAAGAATTCATTTGAATGTCTTCCCCATTGAATTTTTATCTGAAACTTGGTATGAGTAAACTAGACTTAATGAATAAGATGCTCAAAAAATTTCATCAAAAAATTCCACTGGGAGCCACCTCAAATGGCACGTCCGGACAGAATCTTCTATATAAGGACTTATCTGACCCTTATCCCAATATTTAAATGCACCAAAGGGAAAAGGAATGGCGTCTTCCTTAGTTTGGAACAAAGTAACAAAATGGGACAAAATAAAAAGTTTATAACTCAATACCTTCTTCATGGAGATAATCTTCCTTCTCATGAAGCAGGATTCCAATGACTCCATAACCTTAAAGAACAAAGGCAACCTTGACGGAATGAGAGTAGCGGCCCTCAATTCCAATACTTCAGGTATATATTTGTTCTGAAAAATAGAACTATATTTGTTCTCACACTCATAATACAATAGTATATTTGTACATTTTCCCTATTCCCATAGTTACCTTCCATCTTCCTTGTCATCGCCTCACAGTTTCATACCCCTCAGTCCTTTGAATTTTTTCCTTATATATGTTGCATTGCAAAGAAAACAAATGATGTTTTCTTTTGAACTGTTTTCAGTCTCATACCATATCAGATCAGATCGGACTTAAACAGATCAGACCAGATCAAACTTAAACAGATCAGACCACACCGGACTTGGAGAGTTATAAAACACACAGAGACCAAACAATTACCATAACATACCAGTTTCGACCAAATTAGACCATACCAGACTAGATCGTCAAAATTCAATTCAAAAGAAAACATCCTAAGATTATCCATCGGGCCATCCTCTTCTATAACTCCATCGTTTAAAAACCTTAACAAAATATGAGACTTGTGCGGTCTAGAGAGAGGAGCGGAGGGGAAACCCTAGTCACCTCCTCCTCTTCCTTTCTTCTCTTCCTTCAATTCTTTTGGCTTCAATTATGAAAAGGATTCGTTTAATCACTAATTTCAATTCCATCTTTACGTTTATTTCCTAGCATTGTCTAGAGATGTTATTTTCGGTAGCGAATTATTGTCTGCCAAATGTATATTCCCCGTCATCATCGGTCGAGTGTTCTTGGATGCTAGTAATAGATTTCTAATGACTTCTTCATCAATCATGAATCTGGAATTCTTCTACATCAGTATTGAGGCCGATCCCCCCCCCCCCTGA